ACCATAGCTTCTCCACTATAACCCTAACATATCCTGAAAATTTCATGCGATTTGCATGTACCGGAGCCGAAATCGATTTTTGAGTGGGGGGGGCCTTAAGCTATTCCTGTGGTTAAATTAAAAAGAATTGACTGATATGCAGAGTTTTCGTTTGTTTTTGACCAAGGGGGGGAAAATTTTTTTTTTCCAAAGAGAATCTGCTGGGAGAAAACGAAAATATTTTTCCAAAGAGAAAATCCGCTGGAAGAAAACCATTATTTCTGCCCGGGCGCCTTTCTCCCCAAATTTTAGGGGGGGCCACCTCCCCCCCCCCCCCCCCCCCCCCCTAATCGTATGGCCTGCTGATATGAAACTTGCAATAAATGGAGATGTAATGGTGATAGTCAGCTACCAGTCACTAAGCCATTGTTTAGCTGAAAAATCTATAATAGTATTTAAATTTTTGTCTTCATTGAACTTTAATTTAACTATATATATAAAGAGTTTATTATTTTATTGCTTACTCAATATCAATTGAAATAACGGCTTGTTGATCTTTTTCTGAATTGTATAATAATAAACGATTTTTTTTCAAAACAGCTAATTGTTTTTTCCATCCATATTTTTGAATATTACTTTTCTTTGGAGTTTGTACCCAACTTTCTAAATAATCTATACATAAACAAACAAAAAGAACAAACAAACAAGATAGTTTTCTTCGAAAATCTTATTTAAAAAAAAAATAAAATAAATTTAACCTTTTGAATCATCATCAACTTCTTCAGCTATTGAAGAAATATTATCATTTGATGTACGTGATTCAAGTTGTTGTTTAAATTTTTCAATTTCATCTCGTCGTATTTCTAATTCACGTTTTAATTTATTTATATCTTCTAATAATGTAGCTACTTCATCATCTTTTTCATTTTGTAATTTTGTATATTTCATACGTTCCTAAAATAACATTAAATTTTTATTAATAGAATAAAAACTTATTCGATATTTAACATACCACTGTTAATGCTTGCTCAAGACGTCGTACTACATTACGTTCATTACGATCACGATCATGTCGACGACTACCACCCGTAGGTCGAGAATAGAATGGATTATGTTGCATTGGATTTGTAACGATTTCTTGTAATTTATTAACAGCCTAGAATAAAATTCTCATGTTTTAGTAAATTCAAAAAATAAAAAACATAATACTAACAGCCTCTTTCTTTGCACGTTCATCATCAGCTTTTTTACGTAATTCGGGTACTTGTCGTTCCAAATCATGTAATTCTAAAAGAAATTTAATATGAATAAAAAAAAAAACAAAGACAAACTATTATCTATTTCAAAAAAAAGAATGCGAATTATTGTTTTTTTTTTCCACAACTTTTGATAGGAACGACGAAGAGAGAGCTAGAGATTGCATCATTCAAACGAGAACACCCGAAACCATTATGATCACTCTTCATTAGATATTGGCAAGCGATAGAGAGAAGTCTTTTTTTTTCGATATATATAGACTCCAATACTTTCGTTCAATCAAATGATAATGTTTTGGAGCTTTTGAAATTAACGTTGCTGAAATCTGGAGTCACAGAAAAACTCTTGAATGAAAGTGTCTACGGTGTTGGGATTTAGGTAGATCAATGGAATAGACATTTCTCTATCGATAGTTCATATTACACGTGAAAGCCTAATAGGAAATGACTTCAGAATTTCATTTAAAAAAAAAACCGTTTGTTGAATGATGAAAAGTCTAGCTATGTTCGTCGTTCATATTCAAACTTATTTGAAAAACAATCATCGAAATTCTTTTTTGAAATGAATAATAATAATAAAACAGATCACAAACGGTCAAGAACGTGTTTGAATTTATTAGCCGTTATGTCACGATCTTTAATAGCTTGTTCAAGATCATATTGACTTTTTTCATATCGATCACGAAACTGAAAAAGAAAACAAATTATATTATGATATATGATAAAAAGAGTTTTATTCCGTAGATTGTTATGATCTCTATCAAAATAGTTTAATATTATTTTTCTCTAAATAACTTTCGTTATTCTAGAGCATAAACAACATTAGGCAATAATTTATCCCCAGGGAACTTCTCCAAGTGTTAAATTGATTTTTGATCAACACGATGTTTCTTTGATAAGTACTAGTGAGTAATAGAAAAGTTCAGAATGCTTGGATTTTTCAGACATTCGTTCTCAAGCTATCATAATTTTACTGTGTTTTTTAACAAAATAGCTATCGTTCCACTCACAATGGAGGTGTTTGTGTTGTAAGTTAAATCGACTAGACATATTCGAGTCAAATGGAAGCTCTCACCTCCAAACTAACAAGGTTAAAATATTAGTGGCCCTTTGCTTGCCTAGAGGGAGATATTTAACTTTTAAATTTAAGTATAATAATGAATCAGGAAAGGTTTTCTCCACTATTATAAGGATAAAACATAGTGTTGTTCGAGCCGATTATGGGATTTGTAGGGCCCCTCTTTCATATGGCCCGAACAACACCATGTTTTGTCCTTATAATAGTAGAGTAAATTTTTCCAGTGCCTGATAGAAAACGCTGTTTCTATGATCTACAGAAAAAATTTACTCTACTATTATAAGGATAAAACATAGTGTTGTTCGAGCAGATTATGGGTTTTGTAGGGCCCCTCTTTCATATGGCCCGAACAACACCATGTTTTGTCCTTATAATAGTAGAGTAAATTTTTCCAGTGCCTGATAGAAAACGCTGTTTCTATGA